GTGTTTTCCAAAGTGGTTCTATTCTCCCTGTCACTTCAGGTACAATAATCAAACATAGGTTAGGTCTTTTCACATAGTCCCATATTTCTTAGAGGCTTTGTTCATTCCTTTTCATTCTCTTTTCTCTAATCTTGTCTTCACACTTTATTTCATTAAGTTGATCTTCAATCTCTGATATCCTTTCTTCTGCTTGATCAATTAAGCTATTGATACTGTTATATACTTCATGAAGTTCTCCTGCTGTGTTTTTCAGCTTCATCAGATTGTTTCTCTTCTTCTCTAGACTGGTTATTCTAGTTATCAGTTCCTATAACCTTTTATCAAGGTTCTTAGCTTGCTTGCGTTGGGTTAGAACATGCTCCTTTAGCTCATAGGAGTTTGTTATTACTCACCTTCTGATGCTGACTTCTGTGAATTCGTCAAACTCATTCTTTATCGAGGAGCTGTGATCCTTTGGAGGAGAAGAGGCATTCTGGTTTTTGGAATTTTCAGCCTTTTTGAGCTAGTGTTTCCTCATCTTCGTGGATTTATGTACCTTTGGTCTTTTCTGTTGGTGACCTTCGGATGAAGTTTTGACATGGTTGTTCTTTTTGTTGATGTTGATGCTATTGGTTTCTCTGTGTTAGTTTTCCTTCTAACAGGCCCCTCTTCTGCAGGTTTGCTGGAGCTTACTGGAGGTCTACTGCAGACCCTTTTTGCCTGGGTATCATCAGTGGAGGCTGCAGAACAGCAAAGATCGCTACCTGTTCCTTCCTCTGGAAGCTTCTTCCCAAAGGGGCACCTGCTAGATGCCAGCTGGAGGCCTCCTGTATGAGGTGTCTATCAACCCTTGCTGGGAGGTGTCTCCCCCTCCAGAGGCACAGGAGTCAGAAACCCACTTGAGGAAGCAGTCTGTCTTTTGGACAGAGCTCCAGCATTGTGCTGGAAGATCCACTTCTCTCTTCAGAGTTGGCAGGCAAGAATGTTTAAGTCTGCTGAAACTGAGCCCACAGCTGCCCCTTCCCCCATGTGCTGTGTGCCAAGGAGTTGGGAGTTTTATTTATAAGCCCCTGATGGGGGCTGCTCCCTTTCTTTCAGAGATGCCCTGCCAAGAGAGGAGGAATCTAGAGAGGCAGTGTGGCTACAGTGGCTTTGTGGTGCTGCAGTGGGTTCCACCCAGTCTAAACTTTCTGGTGGCTTTGTTCACACTGTGAGGGGAAAACTGCCTACTCAAGCCTCAGTAATGGTTGATGCCCCTCCTGCCATTAAGCTCGAGTGTCCCAGGTTGACTTCTGACTGCTGTGCTGGCAGTGAGAATTTCAAGCCAGTGGATCTTAGCTTGCTGGGCTCTGTGGGGTGGGATCCGCTGAGCTAGACCACTTGGCTCCCTGGCTTCAGCCCCCTTTCCAGGGTAGCGAATGGTTTTGTCTCGCTGGCATTCCAGGCACCACTGGGATGCAAAAATAACTCTTGCAGCTAGCTCAGTGTCTGCCTAATTGACCACTCAGTTTTGTGCTTGAAACCCACGGCCCCTGTGGTATAGGCACCTGAGGGAATCTTCTGGTCTGTGAGTTGAGAAGACCTTGGGAAAAGCGTAGTATCTGAGATGGATAGCACTGTCCTTCACAACAGGCACCCTTATGATTTCCCTTGGCTTGGGAAAGGAGTTCCCCGACCCTTTGCACTTCCTGAGTGCGGTGACGCCCCACCCTGCTTCTGCTCACCCTCTTTGGGCTGTACCCATTGTCTTGCCAGTCCCAATGAGATGAACTGGGTACCTCAGTTGGAAATGCAGAAATCACCCAGCTTCTATGTTGGTCTTACTGGGAGCTGCAGACAGGAGTTGTTCCTATTTGGCCTATTGCCTGGGAGTTCCTTAATTTACATTGTTATAGGCACATAAAGAAGAATCCCTTCATGATTGTAGGCAGGTCTGAGAAAATAGTATTTTTATTCTCGTATACTTGTACATTTGAAAATGCATATACAAAATATCAATACTCTGATGGAATGTAACAGAATCCAGAATCTCTGCCACATATGGTTCATCATCTAGAATATAATTCTAATTTACTAGACATATAGAGAAACAGGAAAATTATGACCCATACTTAAGAGAAAAAGCAGCCAATGAAGGTGAACTCCAAGATGACTCAGATTTGGAACTAGAAGACATAGATTTCAAATGTTCATTAAAACTATGCTCAAAAGCCTAGAGGAAAATATGAGAGCCAGTGCAATGGCAACTGGGACATGGGTTTATGTATATGCACTCTATTCTTCATATAAAATAATGTTACTTATTAAAGTAATGATGACAGAAAATAGCTTGCTTATGCACATTGAAAGGAAGCATTGATTTTGAGTTTGTTCTGAGACATTCAGACATAATAAACCATAATTTTAAAAATACCCTGCTGTGAAGACAATAAAAAATTAGGTACAAGTTTCCACTCACAGACCTTGGAGTTGACTTAAACCTAAATGACTATAATAAAAATAATGAATTTCAAATAAATAGTATTAAAAGTCTCTGAAGCCCCAGTGGTAGAAAGTTTTACTTTTAGATTTGGGGAAGAGAGAATATAAGGACAAGCTTAGAGAAAGAATAACAGATGAGATGAAGCTTGAAAGATGTTTAGAATTTTTATATATGCAGGTATGATGGAGCCAAGATTAGCATCAGGTGTACAAAGTGAAGGAAGTTCTGATTATAATAAACTAAAGTAGCAATCTTTAGCTATAGGGCATGGTTTGTGACAATGTAATATGAGATAATGTAAGAAGAGTAGGTGGGTCCAGATTGCAGAATCTGGATCCAATAGTTTAGACATCATTCTGAAGATACCAGGGGGTCAAATAAAAGACAAAATACAAAAGCTCAATATTATTTCCTTTAAAAACCATAAACCCAGAAAGAATTTCTACTGTTTATTGTTTATGATTGTTACACTTACACAGTACAAAAAACAAATGAAATCACTCTTATAATTTTAGTGTAGGGCTCTAAAGTCTATTAAGAATTAAGTTATCGCATGATAGATTTGAGGAAGAAAAGAATTTTAAAATGTGCTATAAAATTTCTTAACCTCTTGGTTACAAGATATATATATCTATGTGTATGTGTGTGTTCTTCAAACCATAAGCTCATATATATAATATATAACCATATTATTTTATATATATAATATATATACATTACATATATAAACCATAAACTTGTGCATATATATAAAATATATATACTAAAACTATTTTAAACTATATTATTAAAAATATATTTAAAAGATTCAATAATACATCTCTGCTATTCAGTTTTCACATGAAGTTCTAGGATCATGTGAATAAGAATAACATAGAGAATGTTGCCAGAATAGTTTTTTTTTTTTTTTAACAATCTGACCAATGATCAAATGCAGACATATAAAATAGAATATATATACACATGAGTTTATGGTTTGAAAAATATTTTACTGCACTATTAGAAATAGTCCATCCCTGTGACTTCTTGGAGTTTGGGAGTAGGGAAAGCAAATGTAATTTCATCTTTACAAGTAAAATTCATGCATAAAATATAAATTAAAGTTAAATAACATATTGCCAAGTTTGCAGAAGTGAGTGAATATTTCTTTCCTAAGGCCCTTTCTGATGAGGAAACTCAGAAGTTCTGTTTTCAGTTTGTTATTAGGCAGTTATAAAATTACAGTGAAATTTTTAAAATATTGATACAAAGACAAGGCATGGCAGAAAATATCTTAAAGCCCAGTATGATGTAAGAAAAATCTTTTGTGAGTAATGCATTTTTATAGTATTTCAGTTGTTTGAGGTCTAGAGATATTAGTTGGCAAAATTTGGGTATTTAAAAATGTCAGACTACTTCCCAGAACAGGAAGGACAGTGGAATTTTATGTCTCTGTTTTCATAATGCTTATTTTATCTTTCACATTATTCACTCCTTATCGCTAATGATATAAAGGAAAGGAACTTAGACATGTGGCCACAGACACTTTATGTTGCATATCAGTGAATTATCATGTGATACTTGTTTGACTTCAAAAAGCTAATGCAGCACCCGTGTTTTCCCTTACATTTGTGTTGTGGCATAACATGGTGCCTCATTAACCCATCTGGGATAATACAGATTAATATTCACACAAATATTTTCATGTTCTATAATTTCATAAAGTAAATTTTGTTTGAAATATTTTCTCTGATAGTCTTACAGTAATGTTTCATGAAAACAAGTCTCACTCCAGATGTGAGTTGCTCTTGCTATGATAAAGTTGTCCTTGTAAATTAGCCCAGTGTTTACAAAAAATGGAGGATCATGGGGAAAAATTGTGACTTTCCTTCCAAAAGGGAAAACCATCCCAATGAATCTACCATTATCAGTTTATTTCTCCTTATTTGCTAGTTTATGACATTAAAATATTTTAAAGTTGACTATTAAATCAAGAGCAGAAAGCTAATGAACTTTAACATATTTTCATGCACTGATGGTCCAATTATGATAATAAAATGCCAGATGGCAAAATCATCATAAAAACAATGTACTCACTTTTGTTCTGTTTTGCTCTGGGTTTCCTGATAGGCACAAAGTGCCTATCAGGAAAAAAAATTTTTTTTTTCAAATATCCTTAGTGCATCTCTCTAGTATTTTCATATCTAAATTCCCTGACAAACTCAAACATATTCTCTACTTTTGTTGAATTACCTTCTTAGGTTCTTTTTAACTTAAATTAAGATTCCACTATAAACCATACAACAAAAAAGGATGAATAAATTATAAAACTACCCCCCTTCATGATGAATACAAAACAAAAATATATCACACAGATATCCCTGAACTCATTATATTGCTTTCTTAATCATCATTAATGTTGACTTTAAATTTGCTTAACAGCACAACTTCTAAAAACTATTTAATAATATATCTTCTGCTATTCAGTTCTCACATAAAGTTCTATGATCATGTAAATAGGAATAACATGGAGAATGTTGCCAAAACAATTTTTTTTTTAAATCTGACAAGTGATCAAGTGCAGACAACTTGCTTTATATATCTTGCATTTTTTCACTGACTGAGAAAGTCTTATAACATCTAGCATTTTTGAGTTGCATGCCCAAACCTAAGGCAGTCCAACTCCTTTCAATTATTAGAGGAAGAAACCAATACATTCTTGTCATCCCATTCTTTTCACATACTCTGGGTACAACTTGTCTTTAGATAAAGGTTAAATCTGTGACACTCTCTGATTGATGTCTGCAAGTTAAAGCAAGCCTACAGTTGCATTTGTAAAACAATCTGTTTCATAAGCACCTTGCTTTTCTTTGAATGAAAATAGGAGTTCATGAGCTCATCCTCTGAAGGATGTAAGGGATTTGAAGTTGTGTCTCAGCTGATTTATCAGCATGTCCCTGAAGTGATCTCCCAAAAGAAAATAGAAGACTGGGTTGATGACACTGTTCAGGAAGGCGAAAGGTCGTGTCACAATGTATATGGTGTTGATGACGACCTGAGTGCATTGATACTGCTTCCAGCTCCCCAGGCGAGAAGTGATCCTCACATTCCGCATAACATGGTAGGGTGTAAAAAGCACAGAGAAGATCACCACTGCCATGATGACCAAGTTGAGAGGCTTTTCAAGGTCCAGAGCAGTAGCAACCTGCCTATTCCTCTGCTTTAGGAAGAGAGCAATCTTGTAATAGAAGAAACACATCATAAAAAGAGGAATAAGGAACCCCACCAGTGTTAGACACATGCTGTAAATGAGGTTGTACTTGGGATCTCCAGAACTTGCAAAATCATTACAAGTGGTGCCATTGTCAGTTATAACAGGATTTATAAGGGGAAGTATGGGCAGTAGCTCTAAGGTTACTAAAACCCAAATGGCCAAAGAGATTAAAATAGCAAACTCTTTCTTTTGCAGAAGGTGTTCTCGGAAAGGATACTTAATCAGCAAGTATCGATCTATGCTGATAAAAGTGAGAAAGAGAATGCTGGTATAAAGGTTGGCATGAAGCACATATCGGTTGCTTACGCAGAGCACGTCTCCATATATCCAGTTGTTCTTGGCATAACTCCTCATCAGCATGGGGAGGGTACACAGAAAAGCTAAGTCCGAGATAGAGAGGTTAAAGAGATAGATATTAGAGCTGTTCCAGTTTTTCAGACAGAATATGTAGCCATAAACAACGATGGTATTTCCAAGGATTCCCACAATGAACTCCATCCCATAAAAAATGGAAAGGTAGTACTTTTCCAGGGCAGCCTCTGCTACCAGCCAATTTTTGCAAGTTGCATTCCATGCCTAAAGAAGAGAGAGAATATAAGAATTAAACACTAGACGGTGACTAATGACAAAACTGTGCAGAACATAATAACAATGAAAAACATTGAATGGTGAACTATGGAAGTAAGTTACTAAGGAAAGCATACATACATATACATATAGATACACGTATATGTCATTAATGTATTATTTTAACAAGTATTTTTTAATATCTTTCAACTATGTGCTGAATATAATTTCAGGCACTAGAGATAACGGCAGTGAGTAAATCAAAGTTCCTAATCTCTAACAATTTATACTCTCTTGGGAAGAATCAGGAAATAAACAATAAGTGATGCCATATAATGATAAGTGCTATGAATAAAAACATATAAGGTAAAAATGTTAGAAAATTTTGGGGTGGAGGGTGGTAGTGAGTTATTTTTTACATGTGGTAATAAGGGAAAGGCTTTTACACAAGATGACATTTAAACAGAAACCTCAATGAAGAAAGTGAAAGAGACATATCTATATTTGCAGGAAGTGTTTCAGGAATAAGGAAGAGCACATGTAAAGGCATTAATATGGAAAGACCCATAGAGGGCTTGACAAACAGCAAAGAAACAGAGGGGAAGCATGATCAAATAAATGAAGAGAAAATTTTGAATTCACTTTTGTGTCTCCCAACATACCACCGTCCCCAGCGTACCGTAGTTGTTCAACAAATTCTGCTGAGTTAAACTGAATTAAACCGTAATCCAAAAGAGGAAATAAGAATCTTTAAAGCTTCAGTCTCACTATTTTAAGCTTTTACTTGTTTCCATATTGCCAAAGACTTCTGTTTATTGTATTAAATTCATAAACTATTATACAACTCCAGTTTTAAAACTTAATTTTTTAAAATTGAAAATATGAAACAGAAAATCTTAGTAATATTAACATTGGTCATGATTTATTGAAAGATGACATGCCTCAGACTGGGTCATTTATAAATAATAGAAATTTATTTCTCACAGTTCTATAGGCTGAAAAGTCTAAGATCAAGGTGTCTGATTTGGTGTCTGATGAAAAGTCACCCTCTGCTTCAAAGACAATGGCTGTTGCGTCCTCCCAACAAATGTCAGAAGGGGCAAGGCAGCTCCCTTCAACTTATTTCACAAGGATACCAATGCCATTCATGAAGGCAGAGTCCTCATGACTTCATTACTTTCCAAAGGCCCTACCTTTTAATATTATTAGGTTCCAACATACATTTTGAGGAGACACCAATATTAAGACCATAGCACTTGCCTCGGTCATATGCTTAGTAAAAGACCTTTGTTGTAATGCCTTCTGAATACGTACCACGGAAATAAGCTATCTGACTTATTCAAACCTCAAGTGTCTTGCTAATCTACACTTTTTCCTCTCGTCTTGAGACCAGATTGTGATTGGATAGGGTATTTCAACAACTTGAATTATCTGAAAAATGTATTGAATTGTCATTATTAAATATTAAATATTTTTATTTCTAGTGAGGAAACCCAAGATTAAAAATAAAATGTCCTAAAATCCTCCTTGTCAAGTAGGCTTTGGAGTATTACTTGCAATCAAAGAATTCTTTCAATATAGAATTTTGGTAACCAGAACAAAATAAGAATAAATGTACCTAAACTGCTTTTTTAAGGGAAGCATGCAAAATTCAGTAGACTTTCCTACTATAAGGCATCTGGAAAACTCATATGTATTTTTGTCAAATTCAAGTGGTTTACTTTAAAGATCATTGTTATTTTGAGAGTGTTTTATTTATGCAAATAAGTCACAGAATTGTAGATACGATAAGTTGAATATTTTGAAAAGTTATTTTTAATCACTTTCTTTAAAACAACATACATTTTTCTGAGTCCCTTGAATTCTTCTATGGCAACCTACCACTAAGTCCAATTCCAGACAAAGCTGAATGGAAACTTTCTGAAGCAGCAGACACAGAATGCTGCTGAAGAATAAAGCAGACTGGTTTCACTCTATCTTCAAGGTTGCCTAATTCTACTGTTATCTCACATTGCCAGAATATTTCCATATTTCTCTCATTTGATATATTTTAATCTCTTAAAAGCCTTTTCATTTACTCTGCCTTACTCATTATTAGCAAATAGTTTTGCCTCCTGGTTCATTGAGATAGAGACCATTTGTTGAGCTTACGCTAGATCCAACTCATTCGCAAATTCTCAGCATTCCTATGCTACCATTATTTCCTCTTTTCTGACTTTTTGTCATCCTTCTCTCCATCTTCTGTCTTCATCTCATCTTTTCCATCAGCATTTAAACACTCTCATCTCTTCAGTCTTAAACATAACTGGAGCAACATAAACAACTCTCTCTAGTTTCACATGTTCCTCTCCTCTTCATAGTTTGATTTCTGAAAAGAGCCATCTCACTAAGTGTTTTAACATCTTGACACCCCATTCCCTTTAAACTTACTCCAATTTGGCTTCTGATCTACCAGTCCTACAAGTAGCCTCCACATTGCTTAATCCAATAATCATTTCTCACTAGTCTTATTTTATTTCTCAGTTGTTTTTCATACTACATCTTCCAGAAACACTCTTCCATTGTCTTCTGAGACATGACAATATCCTAGTTTTCATTCTTTCTCCTTGGTTGTTCTTTGCAGGCACTTTTGGAGCCCAAGTCTTCTTGGCTCAAGCATTAAGTGTTGAGTAACTCAAAGCTAATTTCTGGGCTCCATCTTTCCATATATTCTGCCTGAATGATCTCATTCATTTTTGAGGTTTAATGACCAACTATACATCAACAGCTCCCAGATTTCCAGCACGGCTTGGATCTGCCTTAAAAACTCTAGTTTTTTATTGCCATTAATTGATTTCTCTTAGGCATCTCTGCTTCCAGAAATCCTATACTAAACTCTCCAAGTTCCTTACCAAACCTGCAGCATATTCACCTATTTCAGTAAATGGTTCTTCCATGTACCCAGGTGTTCACCACAAAAAATCTAGCAATATCCTCAAAGTCATCTAAAACTTAACACCAGTAATGAATAAATTACCAAGTCTGTTTACTGTAATGTCTGGATATTTCTCAAGTCTATCAATCCTGCTCCATAGCTTTCATTATTATTTCAGTCCTGGCTACTCTCATCTCTATCTTGCACTATGTTATAGTCTCCTATTGTCTCCTCACATCCTCTCTGGCCCTCATCAATTCATCTTTACCATTATAACTAAACAGTCTTGAAAAACTACAATTCAAAATCGGATCATATAGCTGTCCCTGATCAAAACCCTTAATTACCTTTCCACTATCCAAGGAATGTAGTCTAAAATCCTTAAGGGGGACATCAAGGTCTGCATGATCCAGCCCCTGTATCCACTTCAATTTTGCTTGGCCTTACTCTCCTCCTAACTCATTTGTTTCCTCCTGCTCTTTGAATGCAGAGAGAGCCTTCTTAATGTGCAGTCCCTCTGTCTGAATCTCTTTTCACTGCTGTTTTTGTTCTGTGATACCTTGCCTCTGTTCAAGTGTAGGTTTCCCAAGATAGGTTGTCTGACCCTCAGTCTAAACTAGATCCCCCCCATTTATGCTACTGTTTTATACTAAACTTCTTAGAATTTTTTACAACTTTGTCTTACTCATTTTTTAGTGTTCAAATCTGGCACAGTGACCAGCAGGTAATAGGTGGTGTATAAATCCTTGTTGAGTGAAAAGATGAATATAAACACCTATTTGCAAAGCATTTTATAAGTATTTTATCCAAGGCCAGATAAGTAGCAAGACAATCAAATTAAGCTCATTGCTCTATTTCACTATGAAAACCAACACTGTGTATAAGCATTCAAAGCTGGCAATTATAGTAGTAGTAGCAGCTGTAGTTTAGAAACACATTTGTACAAGGTAAAACAAAATATCTATCTTCAAGGATAAATTTTTAAATTTAAGCATTTAATTAAGAAATGACACCTAAAATAATAAACATAAGAAGTCTAGGAAGAGATGCATCAAAGTGTTTAATAGTTTTATCTCTGTTGATGAGATTTCAGGTAGTTTTTATTATGCACTTTCTCTTTTTATCTAAATCTCCCATCTTTTTTTTCTCTCAAAATAGGCATCTATTTGATGATTTTAAAGACTTTAAATTTCTAGAAATACAGCAAAAATGTCAATAGACTGTTTAAAATATTAACAAACTTCATTGTTTAGCTCAATGGTCAGTTTTCACTATTAATCTTTAGTCGCAGTTGCGTTTAAGTCCACTTCCATTTCTGGAAGCACTCTCTTCCTGTCTTTGTAACAAATATGTCACAGAAAGCAGGAAAAAAAAATCTCCTTGTTTTCCTCCTTTCTCCATGTTCAGGCTCTTTTGTGGACTAATCCTTCTTTGCCCAAGTTTAAATGTTGGACCTTCTAAGGCCTTAGTTCAGAACTCTCGTGTTGTTTTGGGGGTACTCAAAAAGCTGGTGCACAAATTCAAATGAAAATTCAGACACAGAAAATTCTATGACACAAGAAATTTGTTTCGTTTTTGCATTTCCTTTTTTTGTGGTCATAACGTTTATCTTTCTGCCTAGTCAGCACTGCTAATCTTAGTACCTTATGTATTGTGCACAGCAGAAAGATTTGACTGCAGTGGAAGGAAAATATAGCCACAAAGACTTCCCAATTTCCTGTAACTAACACTCAGGTAAGTGAGGGGTCACATAAAAGTCAAGGAGCATTCTGCTGTACAGTAGTCCAGAAGGTTGGAGATTGAAGGAGTAGTAGGGGTGGAGAATACCAGAGCTGGAATAAGAAAAATGAATGGCTAAATCATCATATTTGCCTTGCTTCTCATAGAGCTGTTTCCTTATTTTCTAAAAAACAACTTTTAAAAAAATGTATGTACAAAATTCTTGTTAGTTGTGTAACACTCAAAAAATCAAATAGGCAAAAACAAGAAACAAAAATTGTCTGTAAACAGACCACTCCTAATATTTGGGTACCCTTCTACACTTTAATATTTATTTCAATTTATATTTACAAAATTGAGATTTTTTTATGATGTTTTATAGTCTTTCTTTGATACATTTGTTTCATTCTTTTTTCCAAGTTCATAATTTTAATAATAGATTATGGTTTTATAAATATAAGATGTCCAATATTTGCAGACCAATTTAGCTTCACCAGGATATACAAGTGTGAAGGTACCATATTTCAAATTGGATATATTTGTAGTCAGGTATGTTTTTAGTGTGGCATCACGATTCTATAAACATATGAAGTAAGTTGCTCTTTTAAGCAAAACTTCCAACTGAAGAGAAAATTCTTCATGAAATTTTAAAATTCTCTTTTCTACTTTCTAGTGGTTATATTCTTAATTTTTAGGAAATGGAAGTAGTGATGAATTGTAACTGATTTGGATGAATTATTTTAAACAGGTTTTTATTTTTAAGATCAGAAATTAAAGTGAAATCATTAGTTCCTAGTCCAAAAATATATCTGAAACTGTTAGAATTATTGAACTGGAAGCAATACCTAATTTACTCACATAAGCAGATCAATAATTCTTACTCGTTTTTAATTTAAAAATGTTTTTTACTTTAAATATATTCAGCCTTTTGAAGATGTGGCATTTTTGAAATTTACTTTAATATATATATATTTGATAGTTTCTAGGCTTTTTAATTGTTTGCTTTTATAGTCATCACAATTAAACAAAGAATATTTGTAAAATTTTTACTTTTAAGTACTACCTTAAGGCAAATTTACGTAGTAATATGAGAATTTTTTTAACAAATTACTTTTTCTATTACAAAGCAACTTGGGTAAAAATACATATTCACACTGAAAAGATAGAATAATTTAACATTGATAACTTTATTTTTATGCATTCCATACATTACACCAGAAATTAAGATATTAAAAGGCAATAGTATGGCATAATTGTGTATTAATTTCTTTAAAAATACCACATACATCTTGAAAAGTTATAGAAGATAATATAAATGATTTCTACAATTTTTTATTTTTCCTAAGTAAATTATATTCTTGGATAATATAATTTTCACACACATATTTGTTAAATTTAATCTTTAGGATGCCTGAAAATTCCCTCTAATACATTATTTTCTAAACATAAAAATATTATGTCTGGGCATGGTGGCTCATGCCTGTAATCCCAGCACTTTGGGAGACTGAGGCAGGCGGATCACCTGAGGTCAGGAGTTTGAGACCAGCCTGACTAACATGGTGAAACTCTGTCTCTACTAAAAAATGCAAAAAAATTCGCCTGGCATAGTGGTGGTGGGGGCCTGTAATCCCACCCACTCAGGAGGCCGAGGCAAGAGAATCACTTGAACCTGAGATGTGGAGGTTGCAGTGAGCTGAGATCATGTCATTGTACTCTAGTCTGTGTGACAAGAGTGAAACTCTGTTTCATAATATATATATATTTATATTACAATATATTTATCTATTTTATATATTTATTTAAATATATAAAATATATTTACTAAATATATAAAATATATTTAGTAAATAAAAATATAATACACATATATTATAAATATAATACATACATATAAAAAACTTTTATATACATATAAAATGCATGATTGTTTCAAATGATTTAGGAACTTCAATTTTTTCCCCATAAGTAGTTATATTTATTTAAGTAAATTCAATTACTATTCTTGTTGAAATATAAATTGTTGAGACATTAGCAAATATAATAAATCCCTTTGAAGAAAGTAAAGTTAGTATTTGACAACTAAAACAAGGAAGTTAATTTGTTGAAAAATAAATGTAGAGATATAAATAATGACTTCCTTTTCTATTCTTTTCCTGTTTTGCATCTATTTATAAAGAATTAATTTAAACACTTAATTCTTAACACCTTAATTGCTTACAGGCCACCTTTAGAAGGATATCTGGCCTTACTTTATACACTGAGAGACACAATTGGCCATGCAGCTTACCATTCTGTTGGAAGACCTGATCGCTTCACAGAAACTCTGCCAGCAGCTGGATATAGCTTCTGACCCAGCGCTGTGCCGCTGGACATGGTTAGTACAGTCTTATTTGCATATCATGTAGCCAAGATTAATAATTCAAAAGCCCAGAAATAATTTATTCAGTCAAACCTCCAAGTCAGAGATTTTCACTCGGGAATTTTTGTAAGGCTTTCATTTTCACATTCACATTTATTTTATTTTTACATTCAATTTTCCACGTAAATGACAAAAACCAAATAACTCATTTTACAGAAAACACATTTACCAAACAGATTTTTAAAAGACTACTGTTGAAATTATTTTATCCACTACCAAAGCAACAGAGAAGCATTCCTTATTTTCGTTTTTATTTGCATATTTAGACAATAAGAAGTGGTAAATAATGTTTATGTTGGAATACAGTTGCCTCTGCATTTCTTTCTTTTTTTCAACTTAATATTTTTTGGTGAATTCTATATTGAGAATATAATAATGAAACTTCTTTTTTCAATAACCTCGAGGGAACTATAAAACTGAAATTTTAGAGGAAACCTGGATATTTGCTACGTTGGTGTACTCATAAAAAGATACTAGAGCTCAAGTTATTTTCCATTTATTTTCTGTGATTAAAATCAAGTAACACATAAAAAGATACATCAGGTGGCTAGGGATTAGGGAGAGGGTTGCTAAGTAAGATAACCTTAATAGATGGCAATTTATATATCCTAATCAAAGCTCTGTAAAACACCTGGAAGTACATTACCACCGTTTCAGACAAGAAGCACACCTGAATTTTTCTGAGCATTATATTAGATTTAGATTCAAGTAAACACTCAGTCTTCTTGATGTGAAGCATAGGGATTATACTGAGAAAGCCCATAATTGTGTAGACAGCAGTAACTGAATTTAAATGCTATGTAAGTTGAATATTGAGTTAGCAATGACAGGCAGAAGCTCAAAAATAGGCTCTGTTACAGGCATCCTCCTAGCTAAACACTTCCCCTCACCAATATCTGATAGCTTAAAACTCAGAAACTTCAAAGTAGCTACATACACATGCATTTCTACATATATATGTGTATATATTACACACTTAAAGTGTATACATGTGTGAAATATAAATATATTTATGTATATATGAATATTTATGTACAGAAATATGTGTATTTACATGAAATAAAAATATCTATAATTTGCTGAGTTCTTCTGATGTGCCAGGCAGGTATTACACTAAGTACATTTATACATCAAATGCATATAGTAATTCTCTGAGGTTGTTATGATTTAAGATTCTTCTCATTTTGTGGATTAAAAAGCTGAGGCTCAGAGAGGTTAATTAACTTTCTCAAGATTGAAGAATCAGTAAGTGGAGGGACCAGAGCTTAAACCTATATACTTGGATTCTAAAAGCACTGACTCGGGTTCTTGACTGCCTACAGGATTGAATGACAATACCCTTGTGCACAACAAAGTCTAAAAATTAATAACAGGTATTTTTCGGTAATGCAACTCTTTTCTACTTTTAGAAGGAAGAAGGGTTAAAACATTGTGGGCTAAAAGCATTTGAATAACCAATGCCAGGCTTGTTAATTTTAAACAGAAAATAACATGAGCCTCTTCCAAGAAACAAAGACAAATGGATGTATTTCACAGGTTTCTGCCACCATTCTGATGGAAGAAAAGGGTGATGCCCTCTTTGTGGGGTGATAGGAGTTACTCAGAGCTTCCTGTTTCTTCTCCACACTTCCTGACTACTATCTCACTCTGGCTGCTAAGACAAAAAGTGGCCTATGCTTCTCCTTTTTCATAGTATAAGTCATCCAGACTGTAGCCTGGTGGCCTTGTTTCCCTTTCAAGTCCTACTTCCTGTTGCCTCAGAATATTCTCAGTTGAGATCTGGAGTGTTTCTGGGAAAGACTTACTAAAAGGTCACCAGTATTTCTGCTACAAAGCTTTATGCAGGTCTAAAAGGGATAGCTGCACAGGAACAAAGCTGGATTCAGGCTTATAACCCTGTGAGCAGGGAGGGTTTCATGGCATGCTACTATGTAGTCTCACAGTGCCTCACACCCAAAAAGATCACACACGTAATTTAATGCTAAACTATTTTATTCTTAATTTAACTATTCCATAATTTCTTAACAAGGGACCCCATATGTTTCTTTTGTACTGGGCTCTACTAATTATGTAGCCAGTTTCGCCTGTGAGAGTAGAAACCTCCTCAGAAACTATTTCTATTCAGCACTGCACATCAAATTTTGAGAAGGCAAAGTTTTTGTTGTTGTTGTTGTTTTACACATAACATGTTGAAATACACTGCTTGAGAATCAATGGAAGTTTGAAAGGCAGTGAAGTTTGCAGTACTGGCCAGGCATGGTGATTCATACGTGTAATTTCAATACTTTGGGAGAACAGGGTGGGCGGATCACTTGAGCCCAAGAATTGGAGACCAGCCTGGGCAACCTGGTGAAACCCTGTCTCTACAAAAAGTGCAAAAATGAGCTGGGGCATGGTGGTGCGTGCCTTTAGTGTCAGCTACTTGGGAGGCTTGAGGTGAGAAGATTGCCTGAACCCGGGGAGGCTGAGGCTGCAGTGAGCCATGATTGTGCCACTGCCCTACAACCTCGGAGACAGGCTGAGACCCTGTCTCAAAAAAAAAAAAAAATTAAGAACAACAATGAACATTTTTTAAAATATGTATTTTTAAAAGTTTGCAGTACTATTTGCTAAGAGGTAGTACAGCACAGTGTTTAAGAGCATAGGTCCTAGAGGCAGACTGCTTTGTTTGAAACATTGACCTCACTACTTACTAGCTTTCAGTTTTTGTATTTGTAAAACAGGGATAACGAGAGTTACCAATATTATGAGGTGTTATGTACATATTAGAAGTATATATGCTATATAGTATGAGGTGCTAGTATATACATATGCTGTATAGTATGCGGTACATATTGGTTGCTAAATAATTGTTAACTATTATAGAAATTTATAACAAATGAGAGAAGACTTTCTCCAAAATGGTCATGGTAATCCAATGCCATTGATGTTAGAATTCTTGCTGCTCAGAAATATCCATTTAAAAGGTTCTTATAAAAGCCAACATGGTAAAAAGGTTAGTGAGATCTTATCCTGGCTTTGCCTTTTACTAGTTGTGTGATCTTTGAAAAAAGTCACATATCCTAATTTCCTTGTTTAGAAAAGGAGAATAATAATTCCACCACGTAAAACTCATAATGTTCATAGTGTCATATGTATACATATGATACTCATACATATGACACTATGAACATTATGAGTTTTACGTGGTGGAATTATTATCCATATGAGTATCATATGGATATCATATGGTACACATGATAGTATCATACTCTTAGTATCAAATATAATGTTTGAAAATGCAATGGGCTCGAAATTAAAGAGCAGTTCATGTAAACCAAGCAAACTAATCAGGACATTCAAGAAAAAAAAAGAAATCTAACAGAAATCTTAATTAAATCCAATGCTAATGATAACTTCTACTGGGTCCAGTGGCTCACACCTGTAGTCCCAGCACTTTGGGAGGCCAAAGCAGGAGGATCACTTGAGCTCGGGTATTCAAAACCAACCTGGGAAGCATAGCAAGACCTCCTCTACTAAAAATGGAAAAAATTAGCTGGGCGTGATGGCACACACCCATGGTCCCAGCTACTCAGGGTGGCTGAGGTGGGAGAATCGCTTGAGCCCAGGATGTCAAGACTGCAGTGAGCTATGATGGCATCAACTGCACTCCAGCCCAGGTGGCAGAGTGGGACCCTGTCTAAAAAAATTAATAATAATAATAACTTCTACTAACATTTTTTTCAACAGTCACTCTATAACAACACAGTGTATGCATTAATTCTTTTAGTATTCACAATAATTTAATGCAGTGAATACTATTAATACCAGAATTTTCAGTTGAAGAAACCAAGGCCTAAAAAAGATTAAACAAATGATCCACAAATACACAGCTAATACATGATTTGGCTATATAATTTAATGCTTCATCTGTTTGACTCCTGAATCCAAACCCTTCTCCATTATTCTCCTGAGTCTCTCTCATGGTAAAGAAGAAAATATTAAAAAAAAAAAAAAAGAAGAAGAAAATATTGGATTGAAATATAAAATTATTGACACTGGAACATTTTTACCTTGTATATGGCAATTTTATATGGTTTAGTAAAATAAGTTTATAATTAACACTAAATTTAATTATTAGTTATAAAACTTTGATTATCAATTTAATAATTTAAATCTTCCAACTAAAAAGAATAGAGCATTTTAGATAAGAAATCAAACATGTTAAAAATAAACAGTTAAAGTATTTATAGAAAGATTCTCCTAGCAACATCTCTGGGAATGTTTACAAGACACATTTAACAGCCCAAAAAGTCTGTGCGGAAAACAAAGTGGTTTAAGGGTCATACTAATCTTCAAGAATCATAAGCAGAGAAAGAGGAGGGCAATTAATCTGAGAACTTTCCTCTAAATCCATAAGGAGAAGTTATAATAATAACAACCCTCCAAGGTTGAAACAAATCAAGATTGTTGGGGAGGATATTTTGGTGTTTCTGAATAGACAGAAGCAAGATTACATAGTTATTTTCTTTTTCAAAGAATGGTTTTATGTAGTAAAATAATAAAGGACAAACAGCAAAAGGAAAAACACAGTAGAAGGTATTTGTGTCTCAAAATTCTTCCAGCTTCTAGAAATCAACAAATTCTGATAACCAAATTTTCCAGGGAAAATAGTCTATTCAAATAGGCACTCAAGCAATCTACTCCCTTCTTATATGAAAATCCTTGCCATTTAAGAGCTGCATGATTAATGGAAGTTTTTGCATTATTGACTTTTTTCTGATTACACAGTAAAGAAGAATATGTGTCCTATCCATTAGTATTGGGCCTAACTCAAAGGAATTGTTCTGCTAAATTAAAACACATTATTTTTTAAAAGCACTTGACTACAGCTAAAATATTCCAAGTTCCTTGAAGTACTAATAACTAACCTAGAAACACAAGAAATTCACCTTTTATCTTTCAGTTTATACTGAAATTGAACAGCGAATTCGTTTTTAATGATATGTAGTGAACCTTAATCACAGGTGTTTCTCTATAAAATAATATTGTCTTGTTTCCTTGACAGAAATAGCAGTATATGAAATTCAGGCATTTATGTAAAATTAGAGACAGATTTCATTCTCTCTCTCTCTCTCTCTCTTTTGAAAGAGGGTCTTGTTCTTTCACCCAAGCTGGAGTGCAGTAGCATGACCGTAGCTCACTGTAGCCCTGATATCCTGGGCTCAAGCGAACCTCCTGCCTCAGCTCCTGAGTAACTGGCACTACAGGTGCACACCACCAATCCTGGTTAATTTTTTTAAAGTTTTTTTTGTAGAGAAAGTGTTTCCCAGGCTGGTCTTGAACTCCTGAGCTCAGGCAATCCTTACTTCAGCCTCCCAAAGTGCTGGATAGCATTTTGCTATCCAGGCATGAGGCACCATACCAGGCCAGATTTTATTCTTAACTGTTGCTGATCAAGGCATCTTTTCTATTTAAAAAAAATAGAGTTTACCTAAAATTTTAAACTATTAATATGTTAATTGTTACTCAACTACTTAGTCTCTTCCAGTCACATTTATTGTATTTTGTGCAAACTTGCTTGATTCCTGGAATATGTTACATTATTTACAAAAACAAAAAGCAGCTATTTATTGTCTTGATGTACTTTTTCAATGGGCTACTAATTAACCACTCTTCATCTTACTTGCTTGAATATATTATTTGCCCTTGATAAAAGAACAAGAACAAGAACAGACCTGTCTGACTGAATCTCATTGAGCATCTTAGTAATTGAATTGAGAGGTTTTCAAAATTCCCGGTAGTACAAAGTGTTCATTAAGTTAGCTAAGTGTTTTGTAAATTGTGTTATGAATTAAATAAAATTACTTGCCTCTGTTAATAACACATTTAGTAGCATGATTCTTTTGTATTCATGTCTTTATTTCTGCAATATAGTCATTAATGTACTTATTATATTTAAAGTTGTATTTTATGCTGATTTGTTTGTAAAGATATTTTTTATGCTGTAAAGCTGATAAAATTTGGCTTCACGGTTAGGTCAGTATTGTAACAAAGCAAATAAAGACTTTTCAGATTGTAGCAGTCTGACAATTATAAGCAATGTAAAGGGTTAAAGAAATACTTCATTCTCTACTTTAAAAAATCTCCCCATCCTATATGTATTAAGTGTCTATATGTTGTATTTTTTCATGTTCACCTAACTTTAAATCCTAACATCACTTGCACTACTTGAAAGAATTATTACCGGTCAAAATGCCAAGTGTGAACTGTCAGGTCTGGAAAAATGATGGTAAGTCATTGACTCTAGATCCCTCATCATCAGAACAAGGACCTCAGCCTCAGCGTGGTTAGAGGGAATATGGCGGGGGAAGGCTGACTCTGGGAACAATGAAGAATGTCTGGTGCACAATGGTAATGTGAGGGCTCACCCTAGGGGAAGAGAGAGTGGCAGAGAGCCCTCCCTGACAGCTGTATGTGTACACTGTTTCCTGACGTTAAGGAGAAAATCACTCTTATCCATCCCCAGCCTAGGCCCTAACAATGTCTATTCTAAAAAAGAAATGGAAAAAAAAAAGAAAGAAAGAAAAATAATAGCAAGCTTGAGAGAGAGAGAGAATCCAGAAATTTGACCTTCCTCCATGCACCCATCTAGGGGAGAGGGATATAACAAATCTTCTCCCTGCCAAAGGACCTCAAAACCCAGAAACTTTTGCCAAAAGACCATTTACTTTAAACAAAGCCTGTTTGTTTACTCTGACCACAATGAAATGCAACAGTTGCATCAATTTGTCTTGCCACTGAAAAAGCTTGTCATCCTTAAACATGAAGCATAATTTTGAGTGAAAATGGCCCTTCCCTCTAGTCTACTATTTCCTCCCTTTCACTCATTTTCAAAGATGTGTGCCTTTATCCACCAGAAACTGGTGAAATGCTAATTTATAACAGAGACTAGAATACAGGAAAAATAAAAACAAAACTGTTTCCGACAGCAGTAGATTCTTTAATGTTAAATACAAAGCATCATGACAGGAGGAAGAGAAGCAGTGAATAAAAAAGCCCTTCATAGGCTAATATCCAGAATCTACAAGGAACTTAAACTAATTGACAAGAAAAAAAAAAA